AAAAAAATAGGGTGATTTCCTAGGTACAAATAAAAAAAATTGTGATCTGGTTCTCACTTCTGGCACATATCGAAAACGCTTAGACTGTGGCCGTGTAGACTTCGTATCTCTATACACGCCCATTGTCTCCCTATCTGTTTCAACTACTACCGTTGCAAGGACCATACTGTAGTTCGGACCAAATAACGCAATCTTCAGATAAGATCACTGTTAAGAATAAAAGTTTTCTTTCTCTTTGCCTGGTCCACCTGAACTAGTTGTAGCCATTACAACGGAAGATAAAGTCCTCTCACGCAAGTAAACTCGTCGAATTGGCACCCAACACCCCTCTATGGTTTACACACGTTCTGTGTCAATAATGAAAACTGGGATGAATGGCGAGAAAGGGCGGGAAGATGAGAGACCCTGGGAACGAGGTTATGGCAGAGGCAGTTCTCTCAGTTCTCCGAATTAACGACCTATAATTACCAGCGAGACAGTCTGACCGCCAAGGTAGGTTCCCAATCACAGAAGTGAATGCATGAACAACGGAGTCACACAAGATCTTATATAAAGATTAATAAGTTGTTGGTTGCCATGCCGACCCACCTCAAGTTATGTCTGTAGATGTCTTTCCGTGACTCATGCTCCCGCTTTGAGATATAATTCTTCTTATATCTCGCCTTGAAAGATTGAAATAAAGTATTCACCACGTCTTCATAGTGGCGCATAACATCTTTGTAATCAGACTTCTGGTCCACATTTCTGAACGCTCCCGTACTATTGGGAGGTGGTGACGGTCGAGTCTGCTTCTTGTCCTCAAGAGACTTCTGGAGGTTTGAGGTGGGTTCTGTGGGCTCAAATGTGTCTCTGTTAACCGTCGGCATTATTTTTAAGGAATCTAACAGGTACTGCAGAGGATCGGCTTCCGTGCGAGAGGGAGTCGTGACAAAATTTGACAGGTGAGACAGGGTATACGGAGATCCTGATGTACTGTGCGGCATGAATTCCACAATAGGATTGATCTCACCAAGGGACTTCTCCAGTTTCTCGTGGGAAAAATCAAAGCACTGGAGATCTGGATAAATGATTAAAATCACTCAAAACTTGATCTGTCTCGCAAAAATACGGAAGCCAAAAAGGGACAATCCATAAATATTTTTTAAATCCCGAAAAATATTTCAAATCGCAATATTTATTTTAAACTCACTGTCGAAAAGTTTGACAAATCCAAAGATATTTTGCAAATCCAAAAAAAACATTTAGAAATCCAAAAAAAATTTTTAAAGCTCCGAAAATATTTTGCGAATCCAAAAAATATTTTGAAATCCAAGAGAGTTTTTTCAAAATCCGACATATTTTGCAAATCCAAAAAATATTTTGAAATCCAAAAAAATTTTGTTTTAAATGGGAACACTAAGAACTTTAGTACGATCGAATCGGCGCGCGTGGCTCAAGCTGAAAGCAATCAAGACAACTTAACGATCGAGACAGTTAAAAAAAATAGCTGTACATCTACAAAGACGAACGATTTAAAAAAGACGCAATCCCTGATGTGCGTACTCATTTTAAACAGAGACATTTCTGTATACACACTGTAGTTCCTGTCACCCACAAGGAATTAAAAGAGACTTCATAAAAGGGGAAACCCTTAGACTTCTAAGAACAAACTCCTCTCAAACAATATTTGAGGACAAAATTACAAATGAAGCGCATTTGCTAAAGAGAGGCTACCGAGAGGACCTCATTAGCACAACCCTCTCAGAAGTGAATTAAAAAACAGGAAATTAGCTCTTCAACAGAAACAAAAGACGAACCAACGAATCTTGCCTTTTGTGTTACACAATACCAACCATCAGTGCCAAACCTAAAGCAAATTCTCATGAGACACTGGCATTTAATAGAAACACAACCACTACTCAACGAAATATACAAAAATCCGTTTCTCGTATCTTACAAAAGAGGACGGTCGCCCAAAGACATACTCAATGGGGCCAAACTTTGAATAGGCTACTCTAAACACGCGCTGGGGAGTCGTGTAGGCCTGTCAACCCCATTTTACAACAATTTCTCGTCTAACTATTTCCCGAACAGTGTGTTCTGAATGAAGGTGGTTTCTTGAAA